TTCAAGGGCTCCCTTCCTGATATCAGGGTTTAGGGTTTAGGATTTAGGGTTTAGGGTTTAGGGTTTAGGGTTATATAAGCTATATAAGGATCTCCAAAAGTAGAAGGAGCCAGGAGCACGAGAGATATGGGACACGATCGGGTATCCGTTTGGATCCGGCAAGGCTGGTAGCACCATGTATGCGTATGTTTTGGAGTGTAGGGTTATTTAGGGTTTAGGGTTATATGCAAAGAAGGAAGAAAGAAATACAGACATAGATATGTAGTTGGGTCAGAAGTCTATCGCCAGACCCTACACCGTTGCCCCAACGACGGCGGAAGGTCTAGTTTTAGCGATTTCTGTGCAGGCGTGGCCACACTATGTCTCACGTCAGAACTCGGCAATGATGCCCGCCGTCCTGCCCCCAGAACATGGCAGTGTGAGATGATGATGATGATGATGATGATGATGGCGATGTTGAGGTTGCGTTGGTTTTGAATATCACATGTGGGGGGAACATGCGTCAACGGCGTCAGCGACGTGATGGTGTGTAGAGTGGCAGCAGTGGTATTGATGCTGCCGTCGGCGAGGACGGGGGATGATGCTATTGATGCTTGTGATACCAAATGCAGTGGGGTGGGGCCAGATTTTGCTGGGTCGCATGGGGATTTTTTGGAACTATCGCGCTGCTTTCGGAATGCCACACGTTCTAGGGCTCTATATTTTTTCTTGACGGTTTCACGAAATGTCGCTCCTTGCAGCTATCTGTTCCACTCGGCGTTAGGATCCGGACAGGGGATTCAGTCTAGGACAACCGTCGTATGACATGTCTAGTTGTTCGGATTCATCGCAGCCTGATCGGTTGTGGTTGCACACGCGACTTTCCCAAATAACAGACCCTAGCATGGACCACACAGCACTACAACGACCGTGCCAAAGGCATCTTTAGGTGCCCTGCCGGCCCTGCCCTGCCCCGCCCTGCCCAGTTTGGAAGTAAGAACACGCTATCTGGAATGAGTTCAGGTTTAGGCTAAAGAATAAAAGGAACAGGTTTGGGTACGGCGTGGGGTGGGAGGGCAAGAAGGAAAAGCCTTTTAGAGACAGGCTTTCGCAGCTCATCGCCATACCACGATGCGCTCGACACAGCCTTATCGCAAGATACT